TCACCCAGGTCATTTTAATGTTTTAAGCAGAGTGGGCCCTCAGCAATGACAGATAAACCACTCCGCAGACAAGTGAAGGTTGGAAGGTGCCCCCATCACTGGAGTCTGGTGTCAGCAAAGCTGAGAGGGCAGAGGTTAGCGGGCAAGGAGTACCACTGCCCTACAAGGGCCTAGTTTCACTCAAGAGAAACACAAGATGATGTAGGATTTATCAACTGTTTCTTCTAGTGATTTCTGGAAAGCTGAAACTGCTTCAGGAGGAAGGAGGAGCTCCAGGTGCTACTGAGGAACTTTGCTGGCAGAACCAGACATGCCAAATTCCTCCTTGTTTCTAGTGCACAGGGGCTAAAAAGGCAGAAGGCCCAATACACCAATACACCAAAGTGAACTGTAAGTAGGCAGATTCATTAGACACAGTTAACCTTGGCCTCTACGTATGAGCATACCCCAAACTTTGGACATACTGACTGATGAAGGACTCAAAAAATGTCTAAAAGGTGCTCTGCTAATAAGGTTAGGTATATCTTCTTTTATTAACCATCCAGCTCATGGTCATTACAGCTCCATATTCAGCTCCCAACAAAGGTAATTATTATAGCACAGCAAGCAATCTAAAATAACCCTGCATCTCCTGCCATTCTGATACGACATCTTTTAAGAGTCTAATTATTTCCAAGGCATTCTGTGATGAGACAAGGCACACTAGAAAGCAGCTGATGGTAATGTTTATCTTTAAGGCCATTCCCACGTGAGTTTTCCTGGTTCTTTGCTAAAAAAGCATCAAACCAGACTAACTGCAGAGTCCATCAAGATGGATGTAACTAATGAATTATGTCATTCTCACCTCAGGATTGAGATAGACAGACCATGACTGTAGTCACTATAAAATTCACAGACTCTCTTGGGTCAATATAAGGGTCCTGCTCTGGGAGGCCCTGCTCTGCCGATGCCATGTCCCCAGGAGTCCCGGCTGCCCCCAGTGTTGTCCCCACACAGCCACCCGCTCTCCCAGTACCCTGCAGTCAGGGAGGTTTGTCAATAAATCCAGGTTTTCTGCATGGCTGGACAGATCACTGAACGCACAGCACTAAGCTGGCAGGGTGGGCTATTTTTTAATGACTCAAAACTCTGAAGTGTGAGAGAAGACTGAAGCTAAGAACCTTAGAAAATTTCAGATGGTGCCTCATGGGTAAAGAGAAAATGATTGTCTGTCATGACTCTCATTTCTTCTTCATGATTAGCACAGCAGTGAGGATAATTTTAGTACAGAAGTTCATTCAAGTTCAGCCGCTAATTGCTGCTCATTGCCCTTTTCCTCAGACCACGGTGGTAGATAACTATGTCCTAGATACAAACAGGGAGCTAGTACACTTGCAATATTTTCTTATTGCCACAGGGTGGTAGTGAAGACCTTTGTGAAAATTATTCATTGCTCAGCTGTGTTGAGGATACCTTTTTTGATAGGCAGACCACAGTAATTTTTTTGCAGTGTGGGAACGCCCTCAGCCACAGTGTTTTCAGTCACTTGCACCAACAGGGGTGAATTGAGGCCACTTCATATAACAAATTAACTCCTGTTACTATTGGTTTTATCCTTCACTGTTCATGATCATCGTTTAAGGAGTTGATATGCTCAGTTGCTTTATTTCCACCAGTCCTTAGCAGCAGTTTCAGTAGGACACAGTTAAGTATCAAGTTATGGCTTCTTCAAATTTAGTTACCAAAAAAATATATTTTAGTAGCACAACAGCTTTGACTGATGCTTGAATGGCTGGATGGGGAGCCTGCTAATTAAATGTGAAAAGCTCTCTTTGTCATTCCATTTATTTACTTTATTTCAACCCTGTTACATTTTTTCCATAATCATCTAATATTTGTAATGCTACATTCACAGCTTTATTAATTTCTGAGTCTTTTTGCATTGTAAATTTCTTGATACAGAAACTAACTTTATTACATGTTTTTGCAGCACCATAATGGTATGAGACATGCCTTGCATCCTACAAACCAACCAAGCTGTCAAAAGCTAACATTTGTGTAATGTATTTGTATAATGGAACTGGCAAATCAAAGCCTTATTAATCTTTTTTTAACAATTTTATTTCATGTAACAGTGGTAAAAGCCAAAGTACAGAGCACTTCATCTTAGAATTGGAATAAATAGGAAGATTCCAGTTTAAACCTCTGTTTTAATTATTGAACAGCTCTCAAAATTAAATCACTGACCTTTGAGAATTTAGTGACCAACCAAGTGCTTGTCCTCAAGGCACATATTTGCAGCATGCATTCCTTTACATGAAGCTCTTATACTCCGTTTAAAGATGCCCAAGAACACTGCAAGTACAAAGTGAATGAGGTAAGACCGAAGATATGTAATGATGGTGGTGGTGGTGGTGGTGCTGCTGCTGCTGTTGATGTTGTCAGCTTGTGGAGAGAAGTGCATGTAAGAGGACTGAACTGTCTATTCCTTAGGCAAGAAATGCTCCCTTAGACAACTAGGAATGGGGTTTTCTGTCAGTGGATAAGGACTGTCAGACTTCTTCATGGGGTGCATCATATCCTAACAGTGTCATGCAGAGCACTTCTTCCTTTTGAACTCTTCTGGAGTCCTTTGACTAAGGCAGCAAATGTTTACATAGCTCAGAAGTAGCAAATGTTTAATCTATTTTCAGATTTCTTTAGTGCCAACCATCATCATCAGCAGACAAAACGGGATTTTGCTGGTGGGTGATCAAACATCTCTCTGTACACCATCGGCAAAGGCACCGTAAATCACATTTCCAGTAACTGTGACAAAATGGGGAACTTTTCCAAAGGCAAAATAAAAAGGTTGAGGAACATGTCCCAAATTAAGGTCTTCCTCTATAAATTACGTTAAAAAAATATTTAGATCAAATACTGCTAACAGGGTGTAATTATTCTTATTGAGAACATAACTAGTGTCTCTCTACATGGTATTTGTGTGCATTGTTTCATACGACTGAGAAATGGTGGTGAAGAGATTAAATGGAAGACACAATTTTTTTAGTTGAATGCTAGTTAATATTTCAGAAGGAATAATGATCTTAGTATTAAGTTCTCATTAATGAAACAACCAATTCAAAAACCAATTATGTAAAATTTACTCATTCTGACTATCACCTTTACCTGTATAAGTACTTAACCTATATAGCCCAAGCTTCTGTGCAGTAGATATTGATGAATAATAATTCCAAATAAAATGGGCATTCATTTTGTTGCTATTTGATTTTTGGTTCTCAATCTAACCACTTCTCATTAATTGCTTTTACACTCACCTAAACCAGTTGTGTCCAGAATGAAATATTAATGTAGCAATATTTCAGTGTGCCTATTAGGGACACTCTAATGAAAGGATAAATATAAGATGGACTTTAAGTAGCACAGTTACATGAAGGGGGACAACCAGACTAAAGACTTGTTTTTGCCAAAAACCTCTCTTACTTGACCCCCACATCTTTGAGCTCATCTTACTCTGCTCCAGCTCTGACCCCCTCTGAGGTCATTCAACTTATTAACCCAGAAGATGACTTACTCAAAAAACATAAAAAAAAAAAAAAAAAGGAGAGAGAGAGAGAGAGAGAGAGAAAGATTATTGCTCTGTGCTGAATTAGGGGGTTGAATTATCCTAGTTCACCTCCTGTGGCACCAAAGCCAGCTCCTGGGAGATGAGAGATACAACTGTGCAGTCATGAGTAGGTGCAGGAAGAAATGTGGATGCAAAAGTGGGCATTAAGAACTCTGCTGCTTCTTGGTTATGAGCTGTTTGACTGGCTCAATTATATTATTTTTCTCTTAAGAAGCTATTAGATAGATACTGGGTTATTAATGTCCAACACTGATAAAAGGTTGGAGATCAGAGAGAAGAGTTGCCTTACAGACTCCAAATGCATACGGTGACATTTGGTAGGAAGTCTTTGAAACAGGAAAGAGAAAGATAGAAGATGCAGACAGGCATCTGCATGGTTCTGAAAGGCAGCAGTGGCCATAAAATAGCTCCTCTTTGGGCACTCTTCTGGCTAGAGGAGTTTACAAAGAGGTTTCTGAACAAGGAGAATGCCTGTGTGTTATGTAAGCAAAACTACAGCTCAAAGAAACAGGACATTGTTTGATGCCTTGAGTATGAATGTGGGATCACTGGTCCTACCTGAATCACCCCCTAAAGACTTGAAATTTTGACTGTCAATTTGAATTTAGAACATCAACAACATTATTATTAGAACACTTCATTGCAGATTTGGCCAGACATTGGGGTTTTGTGGTTTTGGTTGGAGTAAGACAGGTCATTGGAAGTTCTCCGGCATATAGCTGCTGCAACTGTATATTCCTTGTTGTAATTGCTGGGGATGGGGCAGGGTCAGGGGGGAAGATGATCACTTTGGCCCAAGTTGCCTTTTTATTATGATCTTGAAATTTGGGTTAAGTTCAACCAAATCCATGAAATCTGGGCTTTGTCAACACACTCATGGTTTAAACAGAGTAGTGTGATGCTCTGTGGGATGCAATGAGCTGTTGTTTTCTTGTTTGCTGGCTAGATCCTGAGGACATTAAGGGTAGCTCTAAACCTCCCCAGAGCTTTTGTGACTTTCTGCTTCTCACCATCTACCTGCATCAAAATTTTCCTTTCCAGAGTCACTTATTTCCACAAGTCATACTGCATAAAAAACTATGAGACAGAACCTGATGCTCCAAATCACAGGGAATTAAGGTATATTTTGAATTGTGTAAAGCCAAGTTAATGTTTCAAATGTCTAATGATGCTATGGTCGATACTCCCATTAAATTATTATTAGAAATAGTGTTCAGTCTCCAAGACTGCACTTAATGCTATATAGAGACCTATAAATAACACAAAACAAAACAATAGACATGGTGAAAAAACATTTCCTTTTTTTTCCTCCCTTCCCCACCCTGCATCTCCTTCTAAGTAGACTTGACTTAGTCAGACGTACTTTTGCTTTCTTAAATCTTTCAGACAAAATCATATAACCTATTTAAAGAATGAAAAACTGGATTATACTGCTGACTATTGTAGTCAGCACAGCAGAAACACAAAGACAGGATGTCTGCACCCAAGGGTATCCTGGCATCCCTGGCAATCCTGGGCACAACGGCATACCTGGTCGTGATGGACGTGACGGTTCAAAAGGTGACAAGGGAGATAAAGGTATTATGTTCAGAATAAATTATTTCATGTACCAAATGCAATGCCATTAGATTCCAAAATTGTTTGTAGTCTCTCTGCATTAACAGGATTATTCTGCTTAGTCTTTATAAAAAATTCCAGACATTTGTCATTTACATGTTTGAAGAAGGAAATATAAAGAAATACCTAATAAAGAAAGCAAGATAGATGATACTATGGAGAGGTCAGGTCCATGGGATAAAAACAAAAGAAGAAAGACTTTACCTTCTATTTTGGGAACACATCTCTAAGATAGTGGCTATATTTCTGTAAAGCACTTCAAGCCCTGAAAAAAAATTCTAACAACTGATACCTTGTTCAGTGTAATAAGAAGTATGCAGTGGTAAGAAGACTTCTCTTTCTTATCTAAATTTTACATTTGTAGGACTTGTTTCTGTGTGTGCCTACTTGCTGTAACTCAAGAGCCACTAGAGGGATGTTCAAGAATGGTGACTACTGAAAGACAGGGTAGGATTCATGTCTGTTTTAACAGGCTATAGTAGAAATTTTAGTGTGATACTGAAGACAGATCTAATCTCGGCATCCTAAAGCTAATAATTCCTGTAGTACTTTAAGCCTTAGGATAACAGTGGCCCTTGCATCCAGGATGGAATATCAAGGCCAGGGTTGCACAGGTGGGCAATGTGGACATCTGTGGGCCTGTGGACATATAACACTTCATCTGAAGTGCCACAGCCTCAGAATGTCTACTGCTTCAAATCTGTTTGCAAGATTTGGAGCGGGGTGTGTGTGGAACTTTTCCCTAATAGGCTTTATGTTAGGTCAGCTATTGTGTGGCGTCGTGCAGGTGGCATTATGGCTTAATGCATAAACTTGTCAAAAACACTGTTATTGTGGGCCTGGCTAACTCAGCTGCACAAACCAATCCGGATCAAACTTGGATTTATCAGATAAACCCAAGTGCTGATCTTAAGGACGGTGAATTACAGGTCTTTTTAGTGGAGTATATAATCTAGTACATAATTCAAACTGAGGTCAATAGTCTAAAAGAAATTTACTTAAAATGTGCTGGAGCGTTTTAAAGTGTCTTCCAACCTAGTGAAAATGTCTGCCTTTAACAGACTGAGTTGCTAAGCTAAGGAATTGCCTACTCCACCAGAAAAGTACACACCTCTGCAGAGAGTGTATGCTGCAGAATCAGTGTGGAAGGTGTGGTTTGATGTGTGGTTCTTTAATGGCTATGCTGCCATAGGCAGGATCCTCTACCAGATCCTTTTCCTACGACTTGACTCTTCTCTCTTATACACCACGACTCTTTGTGTGACTATACAGTAAACTAGATCAGCTGAAAAATAACCAGCACTTAAAATTTGGGCAATGAAGAGTTATCACTGCTTATGGCCTGCCCTGGACCACTGAAAGACAAGTCTACCCACTTATGTACTTACCTCAGTGATTGCTAAAGAGTTATTTTGAACTCTCTTGTTTATAAAATGATTGAGAGTTCTCTGTCAAGCAACCACTTGCATGCTCCTGCTTTCAGTGCCCTACCTTGGCTAAAGCCAAAACTTTTTAAAATCCAGAAACAAACAAACAAATCCATTAGCTTAATAGGCATATACAATTAACTGCCTTCTTTTTCTATATGCAGGGATCCAGGAAAGTCTGAAAAATGTAAAATCTAGAGCTTATTTCTTCTCACTTCTTTTAAAGGTCCTCACTTTACTCCAGTAAGTTATCACATATCACTGGTTTTTGGTAAAGTCCCCAACTTTTTTTCCTAAATTAATTATGACTGTACTGACTATTCTTTGCACAAATTGGTGTTACTGTACCATTCTTTATATTGTATGTATGTACACCTTTGCAGTTAAATACATGAAACTTAGTTTTGTTCCTTACCAAATCAATGAAATTTCAGCAGATGCTGGACTGTCCAGCAGAAAACTCCTACAGCAATGTTCTTCGGTCCATATGGCCAGAGAGCTACTCTTGGAATATGGTTACATACAAATTTTAATTCTGTTGCATTCTGGATGCAAATCTAGGTATTTCATCACACACCTCCTGGTCATCTGTGATGTTTCTACACAAATGACTTCTATATCTTCTCTCTTTAGAGCAGTGGAAAGTCTGTGTCATGCTAGATACAGGGATCAAGAGTGTGACTGCCTTCCTCAGATCTACAGGCAATACTATTCTAATATAATGTTTCATTACCATTGGCCAAACCCCTGCAGATGTCTTGTCTTGAGAGTGGAGTTTAGCATTGTTTCACTACTAGGCTCCCTGTCCCTGCAGAGCTTCTTGCTGAATGTGGCTTCCTCACTCTTTTCCTGCTGGTATCTTCCATGGATGGAGGCAACAACAGAAGAGCTTTTCACATTGGTCATCCTGACTAGGGTATAGCTCCTCTACATATCTCAGTAATCCATCTCTTTATGTCAAGGATTCCCTCTATCTCAAAAAGCACTGTCCTCCTGCAGTTTCTGAGTTCTCTGTCAGTCTCTCCATAAGATTAAAGGTACCATCAGTGGTACCCACTAAAGCTCAGGAATAAGTCTACTCTTTACATTACTGTTTAGCCAGGCCTGAAGAGGAAGGATTAGAGAAGGATTCATCCCAAATTTTCTGGTAATTTAATTGTTTAATAAAAATCTGTTTTTTAATTCTGTACTAGGTGAAGCAGGACATCCTGGCAGTCCAGGACAAGATGGTGTAAATGGAGAGAAAGGCGAACAAGGTCAGAGAAGTGTTTCAATTTATTGTCTATCAACTGCTGCCCTTGTGTTTGTGACCACTGGACATGCTATACATTCTTGCTGTAGTGAAAGTACCATAAAGGTTAAAAAAACATTTTCCAGAGGTAGTAGAGTCTGCACACATATGCTGACAATACAAGAGGAATTTGCCACCTCCAATTATCCTGCTGCCTCTGATGCCCTACAGCTTGTTCATTCACTCTGTTATCCTACCTTTACCATTTCTTATATTTTTGTCAGCTGTTGGGGAAAGACACCACATATGTAGCTACCTCAGGAAAGTGAGGCTCTTGTAGCTATGTATGCAACTTCAAGTAAAGAGACTTTTAGAAGAAATTGTAGAAGACACAAGTTATACACCTAAAAATACAGTAGATCCTGTATACTTCACCTGTTCAGCCAACCTATGCATATGCAGCATGTCTCCTGTGTCAGATGGATGCACATGTGCAGAGTGACTCATGCATAAAAGTGGGGAGTCAGCCATTGTGTAAGTGGCATCACATCATTCTGCACAAGTGTAGTAACTCTGAGTTGCTGGACTTGTGGATCCTTAGAGTAACTGTACACAGGCAATGTATATATACAAAAGCACAGAAGCCTGCCAAATACAGTGTCCAGGTTCTCCAAAATCCTGAAGTTGACCCTGAGAAATAACATTTGGAATATGCATTGCATGGGAGTAATTACAAGGTGCTCTACACCCCTCAGACTTCTCTCCAGTCTATCAGAAACGACCCCAGTCCTGGAAGGAGTGTGAGACATGAAGCCACAAATGTTTAAAATTAACAAAGCTACATTCCTTTCCTGTGTCCTTGTCATGATGGACCCATGCTGCTTTTCCCAGAGGCTCACCATACAATCTCATCTGTTTTCAGTTCATTGCTGCTGTTAAATACTCTCAATTGTAAATTGAGAACAGTAAACTGTAAATACAGCATTACTCCTAACATCAGGAGCCAGATGTTCTTATGCAGAAACTATCAACTTCTTTTCTTGATGGATAGAGTACATGATCATTATGGCACCTTTTGTCTATTAACTGCTAACATAGAATCACAGAATTGTTTAGGTTGGAAAAGACCTTTAAGACCATCAAGTTCAACTGTTAGTCTAGCACTGCCAAGTCCACCACTTAACCATGTCCCTAAACACCACATCTACATGTCTTTTAAATACCACTAGGGATGGTATTTAATCACTTCCTTGGGAAGCCTGTTCTGATGCTTGACAACCATTTTGGTGTGGCAACTGAGGCACGGACGGATTCTCCATTGAAGTGCAAAATGAAAGACCCTTTATTATTACAAAAATACATACTTATGCTCTCACCAAAGCTCTTACTTCACAATTAGCAAATCAGCAATTAGACAGCTATCAATCCTTTCTCCTATCAGCATAAGACCACTCTAACACGCGCTGTGCAGACAAATCACCTCCTTGTTTATGCGCTGTTCACACGGCGGCAGCTTCTCACAATTTGGGTAGTTTTCCACAGTTTAGTGTTGCAGCTGTCCGTTGTTTTTCCCTGCCACCTTGGCACAACTCAGCAGTTTCTTATCTTTCTTCCAAGGCCTGTTTTTCATCAAAGCCTAGCAGTTTCTCAGAGGCTGTGTAGGGCTGACAGGCCGCTGCCTCCTACATTTTGGTGAATAAATTTTTCCTAATATCCGGTCTAAACCTCCGCTGGTGCAACTTGAGGCCATTTCCTATTGTTCTATCACTTGTTACTTGGGAGCAGAGACTGGCATCCACCTTAATGCAACCTCCTTTCAAGTAGTTGTAGAGAGAGATAAGGCCTCCCCTGAGCCTCCTATTCTGCAGGCTAAACAACCCCAGTTCCCGCAGCTGCTTCTCATAAGACTTGTGCTGTAGACCCTTCACCAGCTTTGCTGTCCTTCTTTCAACATGCTCCAGCACCTCAATGTCTTTCTTGTAATGAGAGGCCCAAAACTGAACACAGGAATCGAGATGCGGCCTCACCAGTGCCGAGTACAGGGGTCAGATCCCTTCCCTGTCCCTGCTGGCCACGCTATTGCTGACACAAGCCAGGATGCCATTGGCCTTCTTGGCCCCCTGGGCACACTGCTGGCTCCTGTTCAGCCGGCTGTCAATCAACACCCCCAGGTCCTTTTCCACCAGACACCTTTCCAGCCACTCTTTCCCAAGCCTGTAGTGTTGTATAGGGTTGTTGTGACCCAAGTGCAGGACCTGGCACTAAGCCTTTTTGAACTTCATACAGTTGGCCTTGGCCCATTGATCCAGCCTGTCGGGATCTATCTGTAGAGCTTCCCACCTTCAAGCAGCTCAACCCTCCCACCCAACTTGGTGTTATCTGCAAAGTTTACTGAGGGTGCACTTGATTCCCTCATCCAGATCATTGATATATCAAGCAGAACTGGCCCCAGTACAGACCCCTGGGGAACCCTACTCGTGACCGGCTGACAACTGGATTTAACTCCATTCACCACAACTCTGGGCCCAGCAATCCAGCGAGTTTTTAACCCAGCAGAGTATACTCATCCAAGCAGTCACTTTCTCCAGGAGAATGCTGTTGGAAAGGGTGTCAAAGGCTTCACTAAAATCCTAGGTAGACAACATCCACAGCCTTTCCCTCATCCACTATGTGTGTTAACCTTGTCACAGAAGGAGGTCAGGTTTGTCAAGCAGGACCTGCCTTTCATAAACTCATGCTGGCTCAGCCTGATTGCCTGGTTGTCCTGTACGTGCTGCATAATGGCACTCAAGATGATCTGCTCCATAACCTTCCCTGGCAGCGAGATCAGATTGACAGGCCTGTAGTACCCTAGATCCTCCTTCCTGTCCTTCTTGTAGATGGGCATCACATTTGCTAACTTCCAGTCAACTGGGACCTCCCTGGTTAGCCAGGACTGCTGCTAAGTGATTGAAAGTGGCTTGGTGAGCACTTCTGCCAGCTCCCTCAGTACCCTTGGGTGGATCCCATCCTGCCCCATAGACTTGTGTGTGTCTGAGTGGTGTAGCAGGTCACTAACCACTTCTCCTTGGATGATGGGTCTTCTTTCTGCTCCCCGTCCCTGTCTTCCCATTCAGGGGTCTGGGTACCCAGAGAACAACTGGTATTACCATTAAAGACTGAGACAAAGAAGGCATTGAGTACCTCCTGATCCTCTGTCACTATGTTCCCCGCCACATCCAATAAAGGATGAAGATTCTTCTTAGCCCTCCTTTTGTTGCTAATGTACTTATAGAAACATTTTTTTAATGTCTTTTAAGTCAGTAGCTAGATTAAGTTTCAGTTGGATTTGGCCCTTCTACTTTTCTCCCTCCATAATCTCATGACATCCTTGTAGTCCTGAGTGGCCTGACCCTTCTCCCAAGGATCATAAACTCTCCTCTTTTCCCTGAGTTCCAGCCAAAGCTCTCTGTTCAGCCAGGCCAGTTTTCTTTCCTGCCAGCTCATCTTCTAGCACATGGTGACAGTTTTCTCCTGCACCTTTCAGATTTCCTTCTTGAAGAATGTCCAGCCTTCCTGGACTGCTTTGACTTTCAGGACTGCCTCCCAAGGGACTCTGTAAACCAGTCCCCTAAACAGGCTGAAGTCTGGAAGTCCAAGGTAGCAGTTCTGCTCACCCCCTCCTTACTTCTCCAAGAAACTCTATAATTTTGGATTGCTATGCCCAAGACACCCTCAAACGATCACATCACCCACAAGTCCCTTCTCTGGTCATGAACAAGAGGTCCAGCAGGGCACCTTCCCTAGTTGGATTGTTCACCAGCTGTGTCAGGAAGTTATCGTCCACACACTCCAGGAACCTCTTAGAGTGTTTCCTCTCTGATGTATTGTATTTCCAGCAGACATCTGGTAAGTTGAGGTCCCCCATGAGAACAAGGGCTAGCAATCATGAGACTTCTTCCAGCTGTTTATAGAATATTTTGTCTGCCTCTTCATCCTGTTTGGGTGGTCTATAACAGAATCCCACCATATCTGCCTTGTTGGCCTTCCCCCTGATTTTGACCCATAAATTTTTACTTAGTGCTGTCATCACCATCACTGAGCTCTAGACAATCAAAATACTCCGTAACATACAGGGCTACCCCACCACTTCTTCTTCCTTGCCTATCCCTTCTGAAGAGTTTACAGTCATCCACTGCATTGCTATGCATATGCATTGCATATCGTAGTTTTCCCGGTGCACAGTGGCTTCCAGCTCCTCCTGTTTGTTGCCCATGCTGTGTGCATCGCTGTAGATGCACTGCAGTAGGAGTATTGATCCCGCCTCTTTTTTGGGGGGAGAAGCCCTAATTCCTGTGTGACCATTCTCAGGTGCTTCCATGGTTTCTAACACATCAATATATTCCTTGTGTCCTTGCTGCCACATGGATCTCCATCCCTTACCTCCACTGAGATGGCAGACTGAAGGACCTCACTAGCACACCACCCCTCAAATATTGGCATTCCAACCCCAGGCTTATCTCTAGCAAGCCTGATTTTATTCCTTTCCCCATTCAAATCTATTTTAAAGATCTTCCAATGAGCCCTGCTAACTCCTGTGCAAAGATCCTTAACATGACCTTTACATCATGAGACTTTCACCTTCAAACCCTCCTGTAGCAATCAGAGGATTTTCAAAGGCTTTGAGCTTCAATTTGAGAGCGGATGAAGGATAAATGGAGCATATGGTAGTGAATAACAAGGATAAAAAGCCTTTGGTTGCACTGCAGTAGCAATCTAGGTAACTCGAGCAAAGTTCTATCACGTAGAAATTATACGTAGCAAACAAATTCTGGGTGTTGTCTAAATAGAACCTTCCTCTGGCTTAATCATGAGCCATCTTCTCCATTTTGCATACCAAAGGCTGAAAACAAGTGTCTGGACAGATGCTGCTTGTCCCTGAGAGGATGTGAGCTTTCAGTGCTACCTGTAGACAAATCCCACCTTCCTTTCTTTGAGCTTATTCTTGCTGCTCTCAAACAGGGTACCTATTTTTTAACACAATATCAGGTTCTTCAGGTATTATGCTTGTCCTGAACTTAAATATATGAGAGATTGTATGTACAGTGAGCCAGTATATACAGTGTTGACACACACCTACACATATATGTCTTCATGCTGAAACTCGTTGTGCTCCACTAACCCAGTGGAAGATCACAAGAAAGTGTCTTTTTTTTTTTTTTTTTTTTTTTTTTTTTTTTTTTTTTTTTTTAAAAATTTAGGAGCCAATGGGACTGTTGAAGAGAAAGGGAACAAAGGAGATAAAGGAGAAAGAGGACGACCTGGAAAACTGGGACCAAAAGGAATTATAGGGTCAGTGGGTTACAAAGGTCAGAAGGGAGAGCTGGGACTGCAAGGACAAAAGGGGTTAAAAGGAGATATTGGGCCCATAGGTCCAAGAGGGACAAAGGGTGAAACTGGCCACCCTGGAAGAGTTGGTTTCCCAGGGCCAATTGGCCCGCCTGGTAATCCAGGTCCTAAAGGTAATACTGGAGATCTGGGGCCACAAGGTAATCCAGGAGTTCAGGGGGAAAGAGGCTTGAAAGGAGACAGAGGAGATAAGGGGAATGTAGGTGCCCCAGCAGTCCTGCCAAAGAGTGCTTTTAGTGTCGGCCTTACAATTGCCACTAAATTTCCCCCCCCCAATCGCCCAATCAAATTTGACAAGGTGCTGTATAATAGTCTAAATGACTACAACGCAGTTACTGGCAAATTCACCTGTAAATATCCTGGTGTTTACTATTTCACCTACCACATCACAGTCTACTCAAGGAACGTCCGAGTAGCTCTAGTTAAAAATGGCATCAAGATGCTGCACACAGTGGACAGGTATCAGGGTGGAGAAGACCAGGCCTCTGGAGCTGCCATCCTCGAGCTACAGGGAGGAGATGAGGTGTGGCTGCAAGCTCATCAAGGAGAGACTTTCAATGGGCTGTTTGCAGACGCTGATGATGATACCACCTTCTCGGGGTTCCTCCTGTTCAGCACCTCTGACCTGCTGGAGCCGCTGCCATCGCCTGCCACATAACTCCATGTTATCCATGAATGCTGTATGTCTGTGTCCTTCAGACCTCCCTAATAAAGTTCACACAGAATCATCATCTAGGTTGGAAAGGACCTTGGAGATCATCTAGTCCAACCATTCGCCTAGCACAGTTCCCACCTACAGCATATCCTTAAGCTCCAAATCGACCCAACTCTTGAACACCTCCAGGGATGGGGACTCCACCACCTCCCTGGGCAGCCCATTCCAACGCCCAACAACCCCTTCTGGAAAGAAATGCTTCCTAATATCTAGTCTAAATTTTCCTGGTGCAACTTGAGTCCAATCCCTCTTGTCCTGTCACTTTCTACTAGGCTAAAGAGACTGATCCCTCCTTTCAGGGAGCTGTAGAGGGCGATGAGGTCTCCCCTCAGCCTCCTCTTCTCCAGACTAAACCCCCCCAGTTCCCTCAGCCACTCCCCGTACGACCTGTGCTCCAGACCCTGCACCAGCTCCGTTGCCCTTCTCTGGACACGCTCGAGTCATTCAATGTCCTTTTTGTAGTGAGGGGCCCAAAACTGAACACAGCAATCGAGGGGCGGCCTCACCAGTGCTGAGTACAGGGGTCAGATCCCTTCCCTGTCCCTGCTGGCCACGCTATTGCTGACACAAGCCAGGATGCCATTGGCCTTCTTGGCCCCCTGGGCACACTGCTGGCTCCTGTTCAGCCGGCTGTCAATCACCCCCCCAGGTCCCTCTCTGACTGGCAGCTCTCCAGCCACTCCTCCCCAAGCCTGTAGCGCTGCTGGGGGTTGTTGTGGCCCAAGGGCAGCCCCCGGCATTTGGCCTTATTGAAACTCCCCCAGTTGGCCTCAGCCCATGGCTCCAGCCTGTCCAGGTCTCTCTGCAGAG